GACAGAGATGCTGCTGTCAACAATTGTCAAACTTTTCATGAACATAACCGTAATTACCATTACTATCTAAAAGTAAAGAAGAAGAAAAAACTGTACTGTGTGTGCCAATAACGGCTCCCTGATGAAAACTAGACATGTCATTTTTATCTTGACCTGTAAAAATTAGATTTACTTTTTTTCTTTCTAGAGGAATAAAAATAGTAAATAAAACAAAGTTGTTGTCAAAGTGGGATTCCTACCATCTCGTTCATAACAAAATCTTTGTGTATGACATGTATACTTAAGTAACACCAAGAGCGAACGCAGCAATTTTTACTGACAGTGTCGAAATTTATAGAACTTCGGGAATAATAACTTCAATTATCATATTTCTATCCAAGAAATATTCTTAGTCTATTAGGTCGGGTTCAATTTTATTTTATCACAATTTTTAGTTGAAGTTTGAACCTCGACCTTCTTGAACAAAATCAAGCACATAACCAAAACACCAAAGGACAATTTATGTCAAATGGTGTTATTTTTTTCTACTTATCTGTTTCCTCACAATATTAATATATATATTTAGTAAAAAAAAATCGATGAAGCTCTGTGACACCGTTTCATTAGGCGTGCATCCGCCCCTCAGTAACACTATATAATACACTAATACAGTACTCATAATAGATGAGTAGCGGCAAAAAAAATCTTTTGTTAAACTTAAAATAAAATGAAGGATACGTATGTGAATTGAGAAAATGGAGTTATCATATATAGTTAAACGGTAAATTGATATGAGAATACATACAAATAATAAGTCAGGATTAAGAAAATTGGAATAGTAATTTTGTTTTCCCCTGATTGCGCAGCGTACAAGGCGTGTCTTTAATTTCACGAAGTGGTTTGCACCGCCCAACAGCCTTCTAAACAATCAATACTTCGCTATGCCAGCTTTAGGTCTCCCTAACAATTCAACCCCAACTTCCTCCGCTTCTCATTACTCTTTCTTTACAATTTCTTATTTGACATATATTTCCCAGCAAACCGCGTAATTAATTTTGAGTTCACTCTCATTTCCCAACTTATGAGCTGTGTGTTACATGTATATATGTAGTTTCTGGCTCTCCCTTGCAAAACACATCCGCTCTAAAAGTTCTTTAATTTACTCATAAAGACCAACATTAAAGCAAAATAAATCTTCAAAAAGGACAAACACTTTCTCATTTTTTGCTGCCAGTACTGCCCCTGCCATTTCTTTTCATTATAGTTGCTATCTTCCACTTTTAAAACACAGCTGCAACCATGCAAGAAAGGTCAAAAATGCAGAAGAAGAAATCAACAGTTGCACGTAGAGCTTGGAACATTCTCCGCCTAGCCTTGTTATGGGCAAGAAAAGATGGCATTTTCAGGAACAGGCACCTTACAGCCGATCTCCGTTTGCTTCCCAAATACATTAAAAGCCTCCGTCATACCGATGACTATGGTTACGGTGTTGGTCCCGGTGTGTTACATTATGGGGAGCGTGAGTTTTCCTTTGATGACACCCCGATCATTCATGTCAAGATGCATCGCCCTGCTTCCTTGCGTTTCAAGATGCCTAACATCCCCTGCATCAAACCTCAAGTTGACTTTGACTTTAACTTTGAAAATGATCATCATCTTGACGATGAAATGTACCATGGTTATGATGATGATGTTCCAAGGAGAAGTTTTTTGAAGGGTGCGGATGATGATAATGAAGACGATGAATATGCGAGCTGTGAGGTCACACAGGAGATTAGTTGTCCTGGTGATGAAGCTATTGATATGAAGGCTGATACACCTCCTTTTTCCGCCCTCGCGGGGGTACAGGAGTTTTTTTTCAATTAAAGGATAGTCGAAACGGGATTTGTTTATTTATTTCAGAGTCGCCACTTGGGAGATTT